TCGTGAAAAGGACCCTCTTCGAGATTGGTCCACGTCGTATGTCATCCGAGACCGAAATAACGCGAGGCGGAGAAACTGGAGCACAAAGGCTGAGTTGACATCATTTTTGAACCTTGAACGTTTGGTGTTCGAAAGGCTCCGCTTCTACCTTTGAATATTCAGTTATTTATCAGGAATTCTTAAATATGAAACTTTATCAGTTTAAAAATAATCAAACATGTTGTTTCGTAATTGAAATAATCAGGGGATTGATGTTATATGTTTTCTTATTGATATAGTCGTTTCTGGATTGTTGGCCACCCAAGTACAAAAACAATATTGCCGCCCTTATTACATTAATATTATTTAATTAAGAAATTCACATGCAGTATGTTACTTTTATATCGATACATATAAAGTTTATTTTTGTGTACGCGTTCACATATAAAATTAATTTGATTGATTTCTGTTCATTTAAAAGGTTAACGCTCGTCAAAAAGTATCGAGTATTGTTTTTATTGTTGAAAATGTTACATATAGTAAACGGTCTACGGCTGCCCCCGGATTTAGCTGTTCATAAGTGTTCGAGGAATCGAAAATTCGGAGCAATGGAACGAGTGCCGGGTGCAAAGCTTGAACAATCACGAGAATTCATTTCTAACACTCTTAAAGATTTTACAAACTTAAACAAACAACTAATAGTGACGGTTAGGTGAGAGTCGGACGCGTGCTTCTAAGTAGCGCGGAGATGTGGACCACTAGCGAGAGTGGATTTTGATCGATTCACGAGGAAGTGATTCGCAGGAGATCTTAGCAGATTCTGACTGTGTCCAGAGGGACTCCTTTTTAACCCTTTCGTTACCTTGGACGAGATATCTCGCGACCCAATACTAGCCAATTAACGCTTTTGACGAGATATCTCGCGACCCGATACCGGCCGATCAACGCTTGTTACGAGATATTTCGCGATCCGGTAGTAGCGGATTAACGCTTTTGACGATAATCTAGCTTTCTAGCACCAATATTTTGACATTCTAGATGAATGCTCAAGACATACCATAAGCGACATAAAAACTCAAAGGCAGAACACAAAATAATTTGTCTAGAATGTCAAAATATTAGTGCTAGGAAGCTAGATTATCGTCAAAAGCGTTAATCCGCTACTACCGGATCGCGAGATATCTCGTCAAAAGCGTTGATCGGCTACTACTGGGTTGCGAGATATCTCGTCAAAAGCGTTGATCGGCCAGTATCGGGTCGCGAGATATCTCGTCAAAAGCGTTGATCGGCCAGTATCGGGTCGCGAGATATCTCGTCCAAGGTAACGAAAGGGTTAAAGCATTTTCGGATGCTGTCCTTTAGGGCGGAATTTTTTGCAAAGCGTTCGCTGATAAGCATAGCGAAATAAAAGTGGGATTTATAATCGAAGGCGATTGGTCAATGAAGACTGAGAAAAGGAAAAGTTAATGTTGTTTAAGGAGGCTTAGGTGGGGAATAAAAAAGATGGGCTATAGGACCAGGAGTTCGTAGAAGTAAACAAATCATGGGCTAAAGGACCGCGGTAGTAGATAAAAGAGCGAAGCGCTAGAGTTTCTGTTGATACATCAATTTAAGTTATGAGCATAATACGTTACTGAATTAATGGTGCTAGATGACATGGAGAGACGCGAGGAAAAATAAACGGAATTTGAAATAAGGAAGAAATAGAACACCCAGATCGTTGCAGAGAGTATTCCAATTAAAATTTAGCGTTATAATTATTAGTTTATGGATTAGTCCTAAAAGTTCCGTATTTGCAGAAATGAAGGTGGGGATGTTAATTAATAAGGCGAGGATCGGCAGTTCGGCCTGCTGAACCTGCGATTGAAAGGAAAGTTCCGCGTATAATCCTAACAATAAGTACGGGGTACTTTTACATCCCCGCCAGAAACGGCCCAACTTATTGTATTAAAATTAAATCCGTAGTATACTTGTACGACTTTTGCATTTGTGCAGTAAGCCATCGATTAACGAGGCCCTCTTTCTTTTTTCTTTTTACTAAGCCATTGAGAAGCGAAATGTTATGTTAAGGAGTCAATGCGTTTAATTGAAAACTCGTTCATTCACTAACGTAGTTAAATAATGTTATTTATAAAGTAAATTGATTAAAAGTTAGCGTCACCTATGCACACATGAAAGTGAAGCAAAGTTATTCAAATCTAATTATTTCGACGTAGAACCTGAATTATTTTCGTGCTTTTAACTCTTAATTCATTTTATTTACATGTACTTTTAATATTGTAAATATTATTATAAATTGTTTAAATATATATAGATATGGATAATCAAGTCTTATCTTATTTAGCTAGAAATAAGATGAATTATTGTAGAGGCACAGCAATTAGGCATTTTAGCGACGAGTATGTAGAGTAAAGTAGAGGATATCGTCCCGTCGGTCAAATTGTACTACTACGACATTTAAGAAGATATCTTAAGAAATGGCCATCTAACTAAAAAGTTATGAACTTAATCTTGCGACGTTCGTTTATTCCTAACTATTTAGTGGATACTAAAGTCAGAGGTATATTATATTACTTTGCTAACGTGTTACTAATTTTGCCCCTTCGTTTCTAACCGATATCAACCGTGTGAGGTACGTTTAGCAATTGATACTAATAATTGTTAAAAAAGTTAATTTAATTTTCATGCAAATGCATGTATAACCTTTAGCACAACCTCAAACAGACGTTTTAAAAATTATAAAACTAAAAATAACTTCCGGCCGTACCACCGCATAATTGGGGAATTGGTCCCGGTACAATTAATCCAATTGTGTTTATTAAGTCAAAACTTTGATTATCTAAATACTTATCCTTCGATAAAAATGACTCTGTTAGAAACGGCATAAAAAAAGGTGGATCCTGGCTGTTCAAAGATATGAGAAAAGCCATTCAATTGTAAAATAAATGGTTTCACGAAAAATGCGCTAATGTAAAATCTACTGAATTCAACATATACGTTTATTGTAGTAAAATATAAAGTAGTAAAATATAAATGTAGTAAAAATGTAGTAACAAAAAAAAGACTTATGTAATCCATTTTCTTTTCCGAATTTTACTTATATGTTCAATGTTTTGTTCCGATTCCATTTCTCATATGAGGTATAAATTATCCAACCATATTATAATAGAAGAGGACGAGTTACCTACCTGGTGGTACAATATACCAGATGCGCCGTTTAAATCGCTCTAAGGATTATTTTATTTGAACGTCTGCCGTGTTAACTAGTACTTATGTACCTTTATGTGTGTACATTGCATACAAAACTTCACGAATAAATAAAATATGAATTATTTGTTTACTAAAATACCTTGCCAAAAACGTTTCTATAGGCACTTTTGCAAACCCGGGACAACATTTACCCAGTTTTATCCTAAGATGGTAGGACTATCAGAAGTATTGGAAGATCTGTTTTAAGGTAAATTGAAACCCCCTTCAAATCAGTCGATTCGAAGACAAACACTTTTTTTTAAGGGTATTGGACCAAATTGTGCGAAACTTTGATACATGACTCGTGATCATCTACAAATTGTCCTGACACGTTCAAAATTTGGACATTTCAACAAAATTTTTTAACTCAACCCAGACCAGAACCAAAATGGCGTCGAGCTCTCGTATTTCGATTAATATACATTTATCGAAGGCTCTGATTTGAGAATCGACAGGGTCAGGACAATTTTACGACAATTTGGAACACTCTGATAATCGATAAACACGCAGTTGAACGGGATAAAGGCAAAAAAAGTGTTTTATGCGCTTCTATGCTAAAACGATGGGAATACAAGGCCTCGGAGTGAAAATTTAATTGACCTGGAAATCACAGATGTCGCAGGGGGTCCCTCTGCAATTAATTAGGGCCCCAGAAAGCACGAATCCAGAGAATTTCTGGAGTTTAACTTCGATTTCTTTATAATTATTGTACGAAAACGACAGGTGGAGTATGCCATTTGGTACAATACCCAATATAATTCGACCCAGCTGTCAATATAAAAACGAACGTCGGCAACGTAGGCATTTAGAAAAATCTTCTTTATCGACGCCGATCAAGTTGCTCGACGTGTTTCACTTAACCTTAATTAGACATAGTAATATTTCTTTCAAAATTAGCCTGGGAAACTTCTAATGTAGGCTGGCCTATGGAGTCGGTCATTATCTCCCGGGTGATGGTCCCCTCCTATCGTAACGTTTTGCTCCACCTTAACGGGAATACCTGTTTCACCTGCGTTGGCCGACCAATCGGAGCGTGGGTCATATCTCGGTTCGTTTCGACCAATGATAACTCGAACGTAGATTCTCTTCCGCGTGCGCATTTCCTTCGATATATATATACCCACAAATGTCTATATGTTCAGATCAAAACCGAAAAAATGTTTCCATGAGGTTTTAGTACTTTATACTCGATTATATATAGCTATATAAGTGTCAATCAGGTGAATACGAGAGCCTCGATTTAAGGTAACATTTTGAAAAATGCTCCTTTCTATGAAAAGTGGAAACTTCAACATTCCCGATATTACTTATAATATTTTAACAACGATATTTATATGAGTGCAGTGGAATAGAAAGGAATTCGTAGTTGACTTTGGTTTGATGTATCTAATTATTTATACCGTTTTTATTAGAAACATCCATTAAACTAAATTTATTCTTCTAATACTCTTAAATAGCGCATAGGAAATAAACGGGTTTATAGACAACATATATTTTTCGTTTCTCGATTTAGAAGTCTCTGTTGTCATGCTGATGTGAGTGGCGTGCTTTGTAATCCTGCGCCTTCCAAAATTTCTTCCCTTTTTGAATTTTTTTCACCTGAAATTCTTTCCGTCCCTGTAGTAAAATATACCCGCTTCCGGCATTTTTATAATACATTCAGTTTCATATGATTGTATTAAAAAAAACTGCCTTTGCAAAACACAGACACAGCACTTTTTTGTAAACATGTTCGGATTTAAGAAAATAGGATTTTAAATCTGGAAGGATGCTTCGGAAGAAACAACACGATCGATTTATAACAATGACAAGTTACAGGAATTAAGTGCAAAATATATGGATAAGCAACACGGCCGCTGCTCATGTGTCGCGTGGTAGGAGTAATAACGAGACGATTAGCCGACGATAAATAACGGAGATTTATTAATCAACTATTAATTCATCAATGAATGCATTCGATACCCTTATCGTTATCGTGACGGTGGCATTGCGCGAGCTACGCGATTACCTTCGTCGAATCGCAATCTCGCGTGACAAAGATCAAGGAAGAAGCTCGAGCCGAAAGAACGTAAAAAGAAATATAGCATTGTGCGCGCTGAACATTCTTATTTTCCTCACGACCTAACGCTCCTGCGTGCATTTTCGACGATATAATTGGCCGAACTAATTACAAGAGCTAGGTAAGTGAGCTATTCTAAATGATAAATAACCACCTCCACGCGCACGTTGTGTCATGTTCTGTAAACATAATTCAAAATAGTACTCTATCAGCGCTGTGGGTATATCTATCTTAGTTTACGCAAAGCGTCTATCAAACGTACAATGACTCGATTTTAAAACGATGACAGTTCCCGGTTGAAAACCAATTGTTAAGTCGTAGTTCGTTCTTTTCTACGTCTCCTGCTATTTATCATCAACTGCGCTTTACTCGAATACTATTTTGTCGATTTTTCTCACTCTTGTCGAGGCTTATTCCTAACGAAGTATTCTAATGTACAGGATCATACAGAGCTCCTATCGTCGTACTACGCACCCACGCTATCGCGTACGCACGCTCCAGCGTGGCGTGCAGAAAATCGCTTTCGCCAAGATTTCACCTCGAAGACATCCCGCCATCACGAGAGGTCTTTCGCAACAATTGGCAGCAGAATACTGCGACCGAGAAAACGTTTAATCGTAAAATGCGAGTCGTCGCGACTCGGCCATTTAGCTCGTTCTTAACCTCTTCCGTCCTTTATCCATCTACGAGAAAGAACACGAATGTTTTTGCCGTGTACGAAAACCGATCGGCCAGAGCGATCGCAAAGACTCGTTTCGGAAGAATTTAGACCCAGTCTAGACCAAAGAGGCAAGAAATAGTTGCTTTTCTAGTGCAGTTGAACGTCCGATAGACCCAGCGATGCCAGTTGAAGATCCGCTTTCCTCGATGGTCAGTGGCTGGTTTCTCGTTCTGTTCTGTTCTCGTCTTGGAATTTCGTCTGGGATTTATCTGCGACGAATTTGCGTTTGGAAATCAACGGTCGTGTAGCCGGTTGAAGCTACACTCGCAGCTATCGACGGACCCATCATGGCGCCGCCGATTCCCATCGTCCCGACGCCACCAGTGGTCACCGTCGGGGTCCCTGGTTCTTCTTTTACGCTTACTGCAACATCATACAGGAAGACTGCGGGTATTCCCGTGGATTTCTTGTTTTCTTTTTTAATTTCCTTTCCTATTTCTCCGTGCCGTACGAAAAAGTATCGAAGACACAAGGTGGATCCTCCCAAAGCGAAGATACTTGTTTTGGGTATTACTAAACTAGGAAAATGTTATAGACCTGCTGGAATTAATGTAATTTTTCATATTCTGCAGCAACACCGAACCTGTGACTCTCTCTATCGGGAAAATAAATATCTCCCAACTTCTTGAAAATAAATAATAAAAAACATACGTTCAGGTAGCAAGAGTCAGGATATTTTATTTTATTTAAAATACTCTGCACGTATCAACCTGTGCTCCGAAGAACTATAAACGGAATTGGTTTATAGCGTAGTTCAGGTTTTATGAAAATAAGTTTCCTAATTTACTATTATTTATGATCCTGAATATGCATTAAACAACTGTTGCGGAAGTTTGGAGTTTTTTCTACCAAATACCGTCCCGATCTCGTTAAGGTTATTAGGAGGAAGTAACGAATTGTATCACTTTATAATCATACCTTCAGGATAGTACGAGGGACACCTCGTTGGCATCATGTCAGCCGACATTGCTACATCGTGACTCCTTCCGCAAGTCGAGAAGCTAGTGCCGAAAGAGCCGCCGCTCATCGCACCTGGCGAACCAGTAGTCCCTGGAACATCCAGGTAATTGCCTTGAAACGCTTTGAACGATCGTCGAAAGCTTCGAAAACGCGCAAACGAAGGGAACTTCCTTGCAGGATCGGAAACTCACTTAGAGTACTAAGCTGGCCATATCCGTTCATGGTCGGGATTTGCATGGGTTGCATAGGTTGCGGTTGCAGCTGCAACAGACAAAATGTATGGTACAATGTTAGCGATAGATTGAAGGGTAACGGGGATGTTCTTTTGATGTTAATTCTCAACAAGTTCACAAATTAAAGCTACATACTTCGGGAAAATGTTACAATAGAGCAGAGGGTAGGAAATACGCAGGAAGAATTCGTAAGAAATGTAGTCGAAGAACATGGTAAGATAACAAGACCTATATCCTCGTGAATTGGACATATGCACGGTGTCCTTTTATTATACTCGAATAACTTTTTTACTTTTTAACCAATTTTGATGACATTTTAAATATAACGTTTTAACGCCGTAAGATTTTTTCTTGAAAAATTACATTATTTTGACATCATAATGCATTTTTGACTTGGACGTGTCATGATTAGAATTTTACGGGAAATCGTTTTAGGCGGTGGCTACCCTACAGCCGAAGAGATCAGATCAGACCAGACTAGATCAGTTCCGATAGAAACAAACGTATTACTTCTAATGAACATGGCTACACTATTTCCGTCGAATCGGTTCAGACCAGATTCGGACGCAGGGTAACCACGTCCAGAAGAAATAATACGTTTCTTTCTGTCGGAAGTGATCTGGTTTATTTTGGACTGATTTGATCTGATCTGATTGGTTATAGTGTTGCCACAGTTTTAGCTTAAAACTACCCTGCTAGTACCATTTGCATAAAATTATGAAATCATGTCTTCTGACACGAAAACATGTGGGTTTTCAACTTATCATCGATCGGAAGAAATGATCTTCACTCTCCAGTAAAAAGCAAGAGCCGGTATGTGGTTCGATTTTTAGGGCGGAAACCTTATAATGTTAATATGCTATATTTAAAATTTCATTAAACGTAGATAAAATAATAAAAGTTATTCCAGTTTTGAAATAAGGAATCTTAAAACGGACATCAGGTACATTGACCGAATAAGGAAAGGTTTATAGCAACGAAAGTTAGAACGTTTTTATTGTTCATTTCCTTCGCGGAATATCGAGAAGCAAGTGAAGACGCCTAAGAGATCACATATTTTTTACAGTAGCTCATTTATTTGAATCAATTTAAATAAAATTTATATAGTTTCCATCCTTTCAAATTATTAGACCTTCTAGGACCTGAAACTTACAAGCAACTATTCATCCTAGCAATGCCCTATGCAGAATATTTCTCATCATCTTCGGTTCTCAAACAGCACATCTACCGTAAAGATGACAAAAAGCTGTCATTTTCCAGTTATCTTTTCGACATGACCGAAAAAGTATCTAAAAGATGTCTAACGTGACATTTTGCTAAATATAGCGGATTAAAAGATGTTTCTGTATGGATGCCTAATAGAGGAAGTGAAAAGCTGTCTATAGGATGTCATTTTTGAAAATGTTTTTATAGAAAGATAAACTTAATTTCCGATGCGGAAAGATTAATATTTATTCATTTGCTACTTTAATTGTTTAAATGAAGATTCTCATGTAACGTTAAAAGAAATAAATTTTCTTTCTTTTTTTTTTAATAAATCAAAGGTACATCTTTTAAGTATGTACATAAAATTTATAGATCGAAATAACAATGTAAGTTACGTGACAGCCAATTTAATGCGACGCGTCAAATTATTATTTACCACGAATGTAGCCGGCGTCTTCACAAATATAAAAATATCCTAAATAACTGTAAAGATATCCGACCAATACATGTCAGAAATCCTCAGTTATACAATGGATGCTACTGAAATTGCAATATTTTGATATTTATTGACTCAATTTCTACACAAAAAAATAAATATAGAGAAATAGATGAATGATTGAACTGACACTGAGGCCACATAAAGCGAGTTTTTCTCGAAACTAAATTTTTCAAACTGGTAGGCAAGATAACTCAACTAATCAACCGATCAACTTCGCACAGAATCCATTCAATTCCTTATGCATTATTCCACGGGATGAACCTCTAATACCAATGATATTAATTATATCATAATATTTATTTACAATATTTTTATGGGCAATTTAAAGCCGATTTTTTTGCTGAAAAGAGTTTAATTTTATTCCGAACGCTAGAAGATTATCAATTTTACAAATACTTTGGTTGAAATAGGTTGAACTCACCATAAACTATCTAGTTTTAAGAAAATATTTTACTTTTCATATTCAGATGAATGTGACAGGGGCTACAGTACCAGCCGACAGCTGCTGTGCTGCCGGAAGTGGCTGAGATATGTATATCCTGTTTGGAGATACAAAGAGAAAATTAAAAGAAAGAAATATGCCTTTACACTTTAAGGATGTCTTTTCATATAAAAAAAAAGAACTGATTCGTACATTGACAATACTTTTCTCATAAGAAATACATGCAAATTGTTAGTTTTTTAGCCTGTTACATGAGAATCTCGTCTTAAGGTGACGTGAAACACGTCCAGGAACTTGATCGACGTCGGTAAAGAAGATTTTTCTAAATGCCTACGTTGCGGACGATCATTTTTATATTGACAGCGGTGTCGAATTATATTGGATATTGTACCAAATGGCATACTCCACCTGTCGTTTTGGTACAATAAATATCAAGAAATCGAAGTAAAACTCCAGAAATCCTCCGGATTCATGCTTTCTGGGGCCCTAATTGACTGCAGAGGGACTCCCTGCGCCATCTGTGGTTCCAGGTCAATTAAATTTTCACTCCGAGACCTCGTATTCCCATCGGTTTAGCATAGAAGCGCATACAACACTTGTTTTGCCTTTATCCCGCTCAAATACGACTTTATCGATTACCAGAGTGTTCTAAATTGTCGTAAAATTGTCCCGACCCTTTCGTTTCTCATATCAGACCCTTCGATAATTGTATATTGATTGAAATATGAGAGCTCGACGCCATTTTGTTTCTGGTCTGGGCTGTTAAACATTTTTTTCCAAAAATCCAAATTTTGAATGTGTCAGGACAATTCTTAGATGATCAGGAGTGATGTGTCAAAGTTTCGGACAGTTTGGTCTAATACCCTTAAAAAAAAGTATTGTATTCGAATCGACTGATTTGAAGGGGTTTTCACTTCACCTTAATAATGAAAATTCACGATGATGAATCAACCTTGCCAATTAGTTTTGACAGACCCGATGAATGGAATTGGCGTGGCTCTCTCGCGAGTGGTCCAGATAGCTGTTCGTTCGTATATAAGTCAAGTTACTGGTCTTTATGTTGGTTCCGTCGCGTCGTAAGCGATTGTTGCTGTCCTCAGGGCGTAAATCAGGTACTTCGCGATTTGCACATAAATTTGCGAACACAACGATAACGCAACGCCCGCACGCCAACTTAATATTGTACGGTTGTTTCGTTTATAATGTGAGGACCTGAGCGAAGCTGCTCTTATAGGCCGGATGATATCTTGTTGAAATTTGTATGCTTGTTCTCTTGATGAAATGTGGATTTATGTGTTACCTTGATGAGAGTTGTGCGTCAAGTTCCATTGGTGGGATTTGGATTCTGAATTGACTCGATGAGAGTTGTGTGTCAAGTTCTCTTGGTGAGATTTGGATTATGAATTGATTTGATGAGAGTTGTGCGTCAAGTTTTCTTGGTGAGATTTGGATTCTGAGTTGACTTGATGAGAGTTGTGTGTCAAGTTCTCTTGGTGAGATTTGGATTATGAATTGATTTGATGAGAGTTGTACGTCAAGTTTTCTTGGTGAGATTTGGATTCTGAGTTGACTTGATGAGAGTTGTGTGTCAAGTTCTCTTGGTGAGATTTGGATTCTGAATTGACTTGATGAGAGTTGTGCGTCAAGTTCTCTTGGTGAGATTTGGATTCTGAGTTGACTCGATGAGAGTTGTGTATCAAGTTCTCTTGGTGAGATTTGTGTATCAAGTGACGCTCTTCGAAAATCGCAATGTTCTCGAAGGTATCGTTCGTCTTGCCTCCCTTGTAGAGTGAGAGGTTAAGAAATTGGCATTCTCAAATCGAAAAATCGTGTGGGAGGAGTAACGTTGAAAATTCCGAAAATAATTGAGTTTTCTTCGGACAACCACCCTAAAAATGTAAAGGAGGGATTCCTTCAATACCGATTGGTTGACCCATTTAGACGTGCCAAATTTTAAGGTGCCGCCCTTTACCGCGTCCTCGTGTGCCCCAGGTGACTCGTACATGGGGTCGTCCGAAATCGACAGGAGTTGCCCGGAGACGGAAAATTTCAACTACCGCGAGGTAGTCGAACACTCGGACACGTTGGATTCAAATTTATTATGTGTTTTTTAGGGTTTGGCCATTCGAAACTGGAAATTTAGCAAATCCAAGGGTTTTTTGAGAGTAAATTAAACTGTGGGTGTAAAACGATATACGTCGCTCGGTTCGACGACTAAATAAAATGCTACGACCGTAGTAAAGCGATAAAGAAACGCGAAGGAAAGTTGTTTTTGGCATTAGGGCTAAAATTGAGAATTTGACAATCAGATTGTTCGTTGCATGAGATCGAATGTAATGTGTCATATGTGCACATACGCAATAACGTTTAAGTTGTAATTCTATTTCCTTTCGTTGTTTCAAATGCCCACCCTCCAGGTCCACATCAAAAAGTAGCCGTCTTGCCCCGGAGAGTGGGTGCTAGGAAGAAGGAAAGATTATCGAAAACTGCACTCTGAAGTCGACGAAAAAGCATCAAATGTAAGCTGACGAAAAGATGTCTGAATTTTGTCGTCTTTTAATCTTAACTAAGAGATGAAGATCGTCAACTTTTATACTTGATTAAAAGATGTCAAAATACGGAGCGTAAGACATCTTGTTGTCTTCTTTTTGTTTACTATATGCCATAACCAAAAGATGAATTGTCGGAAAATTTGTCGTCCTTTGGACATCTTTTACTTATCGTTGTGTTGTCTGGGGTTGCTACAACAGTACAAGTTACAATATTTTTGATATGTCCTGCCCACACGGAACAAATTCTCTAATATACTTATATAGAATATTTTCATATCTATCGAATGTTTAAGTATATCAGATGTTAAAAATGTATATATTATGATTTATGTTTACGGAATGTTTAAAGTATTCTATTGGGTTTTAGATGTATAATACATGTATTATATACGTTATCAGAGCATCAACATTTTTACCAATTGAAAACGTGTATAAGCATGTAATATATCATTATTTAACTTGCATCTGTAGCTGCAGAATTACGCATGCAAAAGATATTTAATAAGTGTAAGTCGTGTGTATATTAAGAAAAAGAAAAGTTATCTGCCACATACGTGTACCATACATACATTTTATATTCGTAGAACAACAAACATATCGCGGAATTTATTTCATTTCATGAAGCAATTAACAACAAATTTGCAACAAATATTTCTTATATTCATTTTTGATGTGCAACTTGGCTACTGAAGACCCAAAGTACGGTTCATACAAAATCGAAAGGATACCGTGAGCATCGCTTTGGCTGTGACGATGTCTTTATATATGTATGTATATTTACAAGTAATATATATTCTCAACATACATGTACCATTTTTTTTACCGGAAAATTGGTTATAAGAATGACATTTATTAAACCAAATTTTAACTAGACTTATTGCGGCAGTGTTCTAATATACGGAAGGCGTCGCACAAGCCATAGGACAACAGTAGGACAATAGTCACCACTATAGTCTATTACTTATGACTCGGATTCGAATCCCGGTTTCCATGATTAATGATTGTTTTCAGTGTCAGGTGTCTGCATACTCTGAAAATCTCAGGTAAAATCTCTATCTGTAGACGACGCGAACATTTCTACATGCCCTATTACTTTCTGTATACTCTCATGTACGTCTACTGCACATATATTTCTATACCACGTATATGATATACATATAACATATAAATATGCTAGTTCTGTATGGGTACTCTACGTACCTATTCTTGTATTCAAACACAATTTTTAATTAATTAATTTTGTTTAAATGGGATTAGTGATTAAGTACATCACTCTACTTACCGGTTGACATGGGCTGTAAGCTAATTGCTGCTGTTGAATATTCCATGCACTGTAAGTGGAAAAGAAAAACGACGAATAAAATCATTAATGTCGCATTTGAAAAGACGGTAGATTAAGAATTAACTGTAGGTTAAATTAAAAATTTCTTGTTACCTAGGATCGTATCTAGAGTAAGCGGGGTACGATGGCGGCGAATGCGCTGCGAAAATAGTTTTTGCAGAGCTGAAATGTAAATGCGTTGGGAAAGTGTCGCTGTAAAGTGACTTATGGTATGGTGCGCTTCTGTACGGCCGCTTCATCCGTTTGCGTCTTCTGTAGTTCCCATTTTCGAACATGTCGTCGTAGTTCCCATCTAAAGAACACGCGAAAAGGTACACGAAAAAAACATGAAAAATGCGTTACATTGCGTAATCGTGGGGTCATGCAGAGTAAAATAAACAGATGCTGCATATTCCTGTCATAGAAAAAAATGGAGAAGATCAATGTCATGCTCTAAAAATGTGGTTATTTTTATTTACGAAATATAAATTGTCAAACATCGTATTTTTCTGATCAAATTTTCGATGCTTCTTCCGTATTCCAAATTTCGGAAGGACAACGTTACGAGATTTTGTGTGCAACACTCGATGAATTTTTTTTGTAATTATCAGTTACAAAAAAAATAAAAAAATACGTTTACGCGTGTTTCTACATTTCTACCACAGTTACAACTTCTTATTTTAAAATCTCGCTTAACGCGTTCGCTACCACTGTCCGATTGGAAAATCGACTCGCCCATAGCCCAAGTTTTTGTTTAAGCAGTCAAAACTGTCAAAAATACGCCGAGCTCTTACAGAAAATCGAAATGTCACACATATGTAGCGCCGGGAGCGAATGCGATAATTACGAAGTTCCACCCCCAAGTAAACTTTTTATCAAACCAAATCAAATCTACCCAGACGTCATCTTCTCAAACATTGATCTTCTTGTTGTTCTAATTAATTTCCCCCCTTCCACTAATGATCTCATATATTTTTGAAATGCGGTAACTTACCGAGGATCCAGAAATTCCCTTTTCTTTCTCCTCCTCCATCTCGAGGGACTTTAACGAAGCACTCGTTCAACGAGAGATTGTGGCGAATGGAGTTCTGCCAGCCTTTCTTGTTCTTCTCGAAATAGGGGAATTTGGTGGTAATGTAGGTGTATATTTCACTTAAAGTAGCCCGTTTGTGGACGCTGTTCTGGATGGCCATGGCGATGAGGGCCACGTAACTGTAGGGGGGTTTGCACAGGGTCTTTGAGGACGTGGTACCATTGCTACCGGAAACCACGGAACCATCGGTCCCTGTCGTTGGAGTCGACGGTGCGCTCGGCGTGGACGCTTTGCTGTTGGTCGAACTGTGAATCCCCGAGGCAGAGGATGCCTTGTCTTCGTGGTGGTTGCTACTTTGAGACGTGGTGGAGTGCATGGGCATCGTGGGCGAGGAATGGTGGGTGCTGTGGTGATGTTGGGGCGACGTTATGTGCTGGGGCATCAGCCCTCGCACCAAACTTCCCTCCGAAGGGTCCAGCTCCTTGGAGCTGGTAGTCATGCATCCGGTTGGCAACTCCGAGACAAAGCCGTTACCTGGAATAAGCATCGAATTCTCAATATGCAGTTTTTAATTAAGACGCAACGGAATGAGTTTTATTTCACGATTTCTCCGCAGCTTGTCTTTGCCGTTACTACAATTGTTGACCAATTTTGCGCGATAATCGAGGAGATTCGTTACGAGATACTCGTATTCATATATGATAAATCGATTGATCTGTAAAAAATATAAATTCGTGATTTAAAGGAAATAAATCTCGAAACGTAGAAATGTTTTTGAGGTTTTCATCCTGGTACTTAACTTGAAGAAAAAATAGTTCGATCAAAATATATAGGGAATTAGCATGCCCCGGCGATGTTTTGCTCGCGATATGTGCTAGTAGAAATTTGTAAAAACACATTTTACCCCTTTCACCCCCTGAAGGATTGGTAAGGGCGAAATCCTGAAATTGGTTTTTAGGCATTTGAAGTTGGGCTTGTTTAGGTAAAAACGAAATTGATATCTCAGCAGGCTTGAGAAAGATTCAGAAATTTGTAAAAACATTTTACCCCTTTTCACCTCCTTTGGGGTTAAATTTTGAAAAAATCCTTTTTGGTTAGCATCTATGTTAGAAAAGGAACATGCCCCCCAAATTTCACGTTTCTATGCCCAGCGGTTTGGGTTGGACGATGGGTTAGTAGTGATATTTGGCTTTTATATACATATAGAGGATCATTTGGTTGTGTTTAAGTACTTATTGTCAAGAACATTTCTTTTGTTCCGACAGAAAACCCGGGGATTTCGAACAGTCTTTTTGAAGAATTACATATAATTTTAACGCCAATTACGGCCATGCTTTACCATTTTTACCACCAACAGTTCATTAGAAGATTAAACGATTGAATTAGTTGATCCAGTCATCAAAAAGTATACGTATTATGGAAACATTTTCTTTATCGGTTTACCTCGACTTTTACTTTTAACTTTTATACATCTACCTATTGAAGGGAATATGCAAACAGGAACAAAGGCAAAATGTTCGGAGTTCCATTGGCAGCATTATTCCAGCGATTACTCGCGAGAAAACGTTATTATTGCCTAAACATCGGATAAGGCTAAATTAAGGCTGTCCCTACGTCTATTTGACAGAAAGAGTGCACTGAGAAAAAAAGTTTGTTAACTTAAGGAAATATGCATTGCGACAACAAAACCCTGCGATCAATGCGTCCAAAGTAATATCAAATTGAGTAATCAAAATTATTTTATTGAATTAAACGAAGGTAATAGTGGTACCTGATAATAGATATTTTATTCGACGGACAATCTGCTTTAACTGAGTCAACATTTTCTGAAGGTTGAAATAAAATAAGCACAATGTTGAACCAATACAGGATTGGGTCAATGTTGGCTATTTATGCATAAAAAATTGACTTTTATGATTATGGACGTGTTTAGATGTATTATGTTTCTGTGTTCCTGACAGTATTCCTTCATATTTTTAACTACAATTTGCGAAATATCATTATTCACTGCTCAAAGTGGTTTTTCGGTGATTTCTTTTTATTTTCCTCCTCTCCGCGTCAAGGTAGTGTTCTCCTTCTAGACGTAAACCTGAAGTATCGAAAACCTGAAACAATAAACTAGAACGGCATTATGACTTTAACGTTAAAAGTGGTAACGAATCTTACATATGAACGAACTGCAACCTCTAACAATTGCAAGAAAATCCGAAACCATAAGTGCCATCTAGCGGTCTTACCGAAACATTTAAATTACATACAATTCAGGCAAATTCATTCGTGTCAACAAAATATACTTGTTCGGTTAAAAAAAATTGTGTTGTCCGTGAAATTAGTGTAATCTTTCATTCAATCCTGCGAATGTTTAATTTATTCATTCATTTTGTATAACTGATGACATCAGTGTGTCATTTCCCCCAAAAATGAAGGTGATTGAATGAACTTTTTTCTTATTTGAGGCAATCACGTAATCGATTAATAACACTGCATGAGTGCAATGCATATTCGAATAATGTGTTGCACTGATATATGATTTAGGAAACTATATATGTTAACGATATATATTTGTTTCAGTAAACTAATCTTTTTTCTCAGAGTACTTAGTCCTGGACCACAGATCCGAGTTGTTGGGCTCTTTTCGATTACCCTCGTTTTTGAAGCGCACACCGATATTATCTTACAATAAGTCGCCATACTAGGTTGCGAGATTTATAGAAAATATAAGGACTTCTCGAGCAGTAGGTATTCCCTTTTACTTATACTCCTACACGATCGAAATTACAAACGGAACTGCAATAATCTGATCGTCCGAGTCCGTCATCGAGCGTTCATGATTTCGTTCTTGTGTCTCGAACTCGAGCTTTGGTGCGGAATCACCACCGGTAAGTCGAGCCACCCCGAAGAAGGGCACGGGAGCTGCGATTTCCAAGAATCTGGCTCGCTTCCCTGAACCTGACAATGCCGTCGATCGTACGAGCACGATTCGATCTTATTATTAGCATCGCCGGTCGATCGATCGGCACGGCGGGAAAACGTGTGCAGGTCGTTACGATGTACCCACACCGGCGACCTCCTTCTCGGAATCCTCTTGTGGCACAAACAATTGGGCCTCTAAGTGGAACTTATTCGTCGGTCTTGGAACAGGACTCCGGCGTCGCTGTTTAAGTTTCACGATAAGCCCGAAAGTCGGTGGTGCCCGATTCGGTAACCCTAGACCGGGACCCCCGTTTCGCCAGAGACCGATCTCTCGCTTATAATTTATTTATACGCCATGCGCCCTGCTTCTCTCTCTTAATAAGGGAAGTATAAATCGCTTTGTCTTATTGTATGTTGATCTTTTGCGTCTGGCTTAGCCCCATCAGATGTCGATAAGATTGTAAACCTGTCTTTGAATCGAGTTGCGTTAAGGTGAAGTGAAACCCCTTTCAAATCAGTCGATTCGAATACAACACTCTTTTTTAAGGGTATTAGACCAAACTGTCCGAAACTTTGATATATCACTCCTGATCGTCTAAGAATTGTCCTGACACGTTCAAAATTTGGATATTTGGACAAAATTTTTTAACTTAGCCCAGACTACAACCAAAATGGCGTCGAGCCCTCATATTTCGATCAATATACAATTATCGAAGGCTCTGATATGAGAAACTAAAGGGTCAGGACAATTTTACGACAATTTAGAACACTCTGGTAATCAATAAACTCGCATTTGAACGGGATAAAGGCAAAAAAAGTGTTGTATGCGCTTCTATGCTTAAACGATGGGAATACGAGGTCTCGGAGTGAAAATTTAATTCACCTGGAAATCACAGATGGCGCAGGGGGTCCCTCTACAGTCAATTAGGGCCCCAGAAAGCATGAACCCAGAGGATTTCTGGAGTTTTACTTCGATTTCTTGATGTTTATTGTACAAAAACGACAGGTGGAGTATGCCATTTGATACAATATATAATATAATTCGACACAGCTGTCAATATAAAAACGATGTCGGCAACGTAGGCATTTAGAAAAATCTTCTTTATCGACGTCGATCAAGTTCCTCGACGTGTTTCACTTCACTTTAAAGGACAAGGGAATGATAAAAGTAATTTTGACCTTGGTTTCCGATTTTCTAACTGTTTTTTTTTTTTTGTATAATCATTACGTTTGAAGTAAACATTCACTAAGGGACAGGAAGGGCACTTGATTGAGAACCATAGAAGCGGCTAGTTGGATCTTCTTCAATACGTTTCCTTCAAGCTTACGCATATAGTTCTAAACAACGGAAAATATGGACTTATAGACGAAATACGGAATATAGACTTGTTAATAGTAGATTTGTCTCATTAATTTCGCCTCCTGCACGCTACGATATGGTAATAATCGCGAAATAACATTCTTATTTTTGCACAGGGAGGCAATATTACAGCTAACTCAAATAGATGGTCGTGATCATTGCGTTGTCTACGCGATTGATTCATGTATATTGATATTGTGTCAACTACATATTGTATGACGAAGATGTGTGCTCTTATATAATATCGTAACGATGTCACGATTCATGACATGTGTCGTCACGATGAGATTTTAACAAACTTGCTCCCAGCGTCACATAAACTGAGAAAATAGATTAGTTGACTGAGAAAAATATATATTGTTGACATAAATATTGTTGCCCGAAACATGTATAATTGGAAGAAACAATGTTGTTGAAAAAAATGATATAGTTGATTTAACAGAATGATTTGATTGGATTTCTGCCACTCGATTGTGTGATTGCCTAAAGGAAGAAGCAGTTGATTCAATCATCAATTTTTTTGTTTCGGTTTTGCGTTTCGATGGGATCGTTAGGTAGCCCTCATTGCTTCGGATATTCTTGCAAGTGGTACAGGTAATAAGTTTGTTCATCTGAAACACTCGTTGCCGTTTTAACGTTTAAGTCATAATGCCGGTTTAGTTTATTGTTTCAGATTTTCGATACTCCAGCTATATGAGAAGAGACCCTGCTTTGAATCAGACAGGAGGAAAAGGTAAAGAGATCATAGAGACTTTGAGCAGTGAGGAATAATGTTTCGTTAATTAAAGTAAGTTAATACTAAAGAATACTGACAGTAAGACAGGAACATAATAAATCTAAGAACGTCCATAATCACAAAAATCGGTTTTTTTAGGCATGAGTAGCCAATATTGGCCCAATCCTGCTCAGCATTGGTGCTACATCAGCCCGAGTCTTGAGTAAACACTGTGTTTATTTATTTTAATCTTTAGAAAATATTGGCCCAATTAAAGCAGTTTATCCGTCGAATAAAATATCTATTAACAAGCGCCACGTCTCTTTCGTTTGATTCAATAAGATAATTTTGTTTACTCAATATGACATTTCTTTGGATGTATTAGATCATAGGAGTTTGTTGCGGCAATGCATATTTTTGTGAGTCAAACAATTTTATTTTTCTGTTATGTTTAACGTCTCGATTCATCGTGAGAAGCAGGCGTCACATATTTGGTATAGTTTTGACAGTTGCAATAAAAGCTTGGTCTATTGTGAAGGTTTTCTA